AAAGAGAAATGAGGAAGAAACAGATATTGAACAATTTTCTCCATAACTGGTTCTTACTCACTCTAAATGTAAAATTTTATTTAGCTGATTTCATAGGAAGACATCATTATTAAAGTAGCACATTTACATGGGTCCCTTTGAAAAGATTTAATGCAAACAAAGCCTGAAATAATTGAAGAAACTGTTCTCAGAAGAGCTTAGCACGGAGGAGGATGGCAGGAAAGAATTACTTTATTATATTGATTTTCTTGGGAAAATCAAAGTGGGATAAGCCAAATAGACCAATTCTCTTTTGCAAAACTCGATGGAAGCATGCAGAATGGCATTGAATTTACACGTCAGAAACTGTTTGTAGTCATCGTGTTGTAACTGCAAAACCTACACATCATTACTCTACTAAAAAAGCTAATACATGAGGATATCTTGATTCATTACTGCACATTCCTATTTTTAAAATTGATCAAGGTATAAAGTGTGTAAGTTTTATATTTAAAAATGTAAAAAATATAAATAAATCATTAACCTGATATACTAGAGTAATATAAAACAGACACACAACAATAGATATGTTGAATAGCAACAAACATAATTGGCCAGCAGTTTTCTAAAAGCTAAAATGCATCTTGGTTCACAAAATGAAAAATGTTTTCACACGTAAGCAGACAGTTTTCTTCACCATGTTAAGTCTTGATTATTGTTTATTTCTGAATAATCTATTAGCCTTTAATATAATTTTTACTTTATTGTTTCTTGAGCAGTGAATTGAAACAGTCAAATATATTTTCAAATCAAATATCTGAAAAATCAGTTCCTTCTGATCTCATTAGGACCTAGGATTGAGTAATCTCATTCATTTGAAGTTGTAACATTTGGTGGCCTGGGACTCAACTTCATATCTGTCTGTAAAGGCACATTGCAGACTTAGCATTATTCAAGTGATAGATTATGATAATACTTATGTGAGTGAGGGCTGCAGGACTTTGACTTAGCACGGAATTATTGGCTAAGTCCTGAATTTAGGGCACTGTACCTTCTTTGCTTTATCATAGTTGATGAAAACACAAACTCTTGTGGTTATAGAGCTGGACTGGAAATCAGGAGATCCACGTTTAATTCATGACTCTGCCACAGACTTCCTGTGGGACCCTGGGCATTTCACTTAATATTTCTGTAAATCAGTTTCTCATCTATGAAATGTAGATAATACTTCCTTTCTCCACTGCTTATTGCCTCATCTATTGAAGCTGCAAATTCTTCAGAGTAAGGATGTCTCTTACTTTAGAACTTAGAGGCCACATTGTGCTAGGCACTGTGCATACACACAGCAATACAAATAGTTAACAATTAACTAAAGTGACTAAGGGTCCAATCATGCAGTTCTGAAGTCAATTGCAAAACTCTCACTGACTTTGATTGGAGTAGAAGCTGGCAGTAAAGAAGTGTAAGGCTTGCAAGGAAATCTTTCCTCTCTCCTCTAGGTGGTGGTGTCACCAACTGTGGTAGAAAAAGCAAAGAACTTTGAACTGAAAGTCTTAGCAGGTCAGAAGCTTTTCAGCATACTTTCAAATTCAGATTAAGGGCTTGATCCTGTACGTCTAACTCCTAAATAAGCTATGAGGCTTTGAAGACTCCTTAAACATTTTTCTTTCTTTACGCGCTTGCCCCAATAGCCAAAGAGCTGCTTTAGCAGAGCTGATCAGAAATTATCACCTGCATAATCCTCTCTACTACTAGATCGGATGATCTATAAATCAGGCACTGCCCTATTATTGTACCCTTTAGGGCCTTTATTAGTAGTATTAAATATTCCTCACATCTCCAACAAATGCAACTTATGAAAATAAGAATCAATGGTCCATCTATCCCAGTGTCCTGTCTTCTAGCATTGGCCACTGCCAGATGCTTCACAGGAAATGAACAGAACTGGGTGATTTGAGTGATTCATAACTTGTCATATGGTTCACCTGGAGCATGGGGTTGCATCCCTGAGTATCTTGGCTAATAACCATTGATGGACCTATCCTCCATGAACTTATCTAATTCTTTTTTTTTTAACCCAATTATACTTTTGGTCTTCACGACATCCCATGGCAACAAGTTCCATAGGTTAACTGTGCATTGTGTGAAACAGTACTTCCTTCTGTTTGTTTTGTTTGTTTAACCTGCTGCCTATTAATTTCATTGGGTAACTCCTAGTTCTTGTGTTATTTACCCCTTCACATAACACCTCCCTATTCACTTTCTCTATACCATTCCTGATTTTATAGACCTCTATTGTATTCCCCCTTAGTCATCTCTTTTCTAAGCTGAACAGCCCCCATTTTCTTAAACTCTTCTCATATGAAAGGTGTTCCATACCCCTAATCATTTTTGTTGTCCCTCTGTGTGCCTTTTCCAATTCCAGTATTTCTTTTATGAGATGAGGCAACCAGAACTGCATGTAGTATTCAAGAGGTGGCATACCTTCTTTTCCTACTTCTAGCAAAGAGCAGGATAATGAGAGACTTGAATAGACCAACCTGAAAATTATCTAAAACAATAAGATGATCCATTTTTACAGAATCCTTCACAAAAGTCAGAGGGATGTTTTTAAATAATGCTTTTGATTAATATTATACAGAAAAAAAATACATCTTGAGTTAGAAACCTTTTGTTTAACTATTTATAGATAGCCATTTACTGACCTATTTTTGATACATCAAAAATCAAAATAACGCTACTCCCCTTCAAAATAAAAACAGAAAAATTGTGATAATGCAACAACAAAGGCCAACATATAGTGTTGGGCCCCTGTGCAAGCCCATGGCTTTAATGGAAATTCACCCACTTACACCAGGTCATTCACCATTATGGCCCTAGGTCCCCCCACTTCCCCCCCCCCGTGACAGTGTACCCCATAAGGCTTTATGGGGGGGTGCTTATAAATGTATGTATGACATAACTGGAATATGTTTTGTGCTGCCTGTGCCATGTAACATATCTCCGTAAAGGTTATGGTCTACTATATCTATTCATCCTATTTGTACATATATATCATTTTCTACTTGAGGTTAAGAATATGGGCTGTATACTTGCTTGGTTTCTAAGTAAGCTTTGTGAGGCATTTGGTCAGTTTCTTTAGGAAGGAATTCGCCAGGTTAAGTACCTGATCAGGAAGCACTTAGGGAACAATGCATCTTGGAATGCTCCAATCCAGATAAGAAGTCTTCCTGGAGACATACAAGATACCATGTGAATAATGGCTTTGGCCTGTAAAGACTGAGTCATGCGGGGACATGTGACTTGCCCAGGTGACTTCAGAACTCCATCTTGGAGCTGGACTTTGCATAGGAGTGAGGAGGGGGGGTCTCCACCCACAAGAGAAAGTCTATTTAAACCCATGGGAGACCCCTCCATTTTGGTCTTCAGCTGGCTAAAGAAGGAGCCTCTCCACCCCCCAGAATACTGGAAGGAAACTGGAACAAAGGACAGTAACTACAGGGGGTGTGAGTGATTGCTGGACCCAGGCTAAAAGGAGATTAGCCTGTAAAAGGGAGCATTCTGGAACTGGTGAGGATCTTATCTGTATTCAGTGTTTGATTAGACATAGATTTGCACATTTTATTTTATTTTGCTTGGTGATTTGCTTTGTTCTGTTTGTTACTACTTGGAACCACTTAAATCCTACTTTCTGTATTTAATAAAATAACTTTTTACTTAGTAATTAACTCAGAGTATGTATTAATACCTGGGGGAGCAAACAACTGTGCATATCTCTCTATCAGTGTTAGAGAGGGCGAACAATTTATGAGCTTTATACAGGGTAAAACGGATTTATTTGGGTTTAGACCCCATTGGGAGTTGGGCATCTGAGTGCTATAGACAAGCACACTTCTGTGAGCTGTTTTCAGGTAAACTTGCAGATTTGGGGCACGTAATTCAGACCCCGGGTCTGTGTTGGAGCAGACGGGAGTGTCTGGCTCAGCAAGACAGGGTGCTGGAGTCCTGAGCTGGCGGGGAAAACAGGAGCAGGGGTAGTCGTGGTACATTAGGTGGCAGCTCCCAAGGGGGTTTCTGTGATCCAACCCGTCACACCCCCATTGTAGCAAGCTTCTATTGGAAAGGACACATTTTGACCTGATCTCATTAGGAGCCCTCACTCACTTACTCTCACACACACACCTGGAGACATTTTCTGGTCCCAGTAGTGAGTGAGAATACACAGAAAGGTTCAGGAACCCAATCTTGTGGCCATTACATTCCATTGCAAAACTCCAAATCATTTCACTGACAGCAAAAAGAAACCACAGATCCATCCTTCCAGGACCTGGATCTTGGGCTCAGTCCTGGAGAAATCAAAACTTTGGCAAACATCGCATATGTATCAATTCCTTTTTCTGTTTATAATGAGAAACAGCATCTCTTTCCTGCTGATTCCTCAGCCCCACTCTTTCAGCTAGGTCATTTCTAACTTCAGTCCAGTTCTCTCCTCTTCGCTTCCCAGTTCTCTCCTTCCTCTCTAACTCCTCCCCCCCCCCTTTGATATTTTTCCCCACTGAAAAGATCATGGGAACAACTTGTTCTTAACTGAAAACACAAAAGCAACCAGTCTCATTTTGCAAGGTTGTGCTTTTTAGTTCGGTCTTGGTTTTTTGTACGTAGACCCCAACCATGAAACACTGATATTTTAATCACTGAACAGTGAATATAAGAAGATTCTGACTGCATTTGTAACATCTATCGGTGTGCGGGATCGAGACAGAGACTCTGGAACTTAGTGTATGAGCCTCTACTGCATGAGCTAAAAGCCAACTGTCTCCTAGCTAAGGCTGTAGAGCAGACTCATTTAAAACACACACATTATCTCTCTCTCTCCCCTCCGCACCCAGAAGGTATGTGAGCTACACATTCATGACTTGTCAACTACAAAATGGCTCCAAATTAGTAGTCTTGTTCTTTCTGCAGCACAGAAATACTATAAATACACCAAAACATGTAAGAATTCAGAGGATATTACTCACCTTAGAAGTTAATCCCAGATACTCAGAGATGGGAGTTTCATACTGCTCAGCGAGTCCTTCACCACATCTTTGTGGACTAGTAATAAGAAACCAGCAAAAAATCAGATGACTGAATATTCAAAATACCCAAACCAGTTGAGATAAAAAGAAAAGAACCAACAAGGCTTTTTGTCTGCATAAAGAACATTTGAAATTTCTACATTACTACACAAAATGTAGACCTCATCTACATTGGGAATTTCTCCCTATACCAACAATTAGCAGCCAGTAACTGACATAACTGCATAACAGCAAACCCCATGTGAGGATAAAGAAAACAGCAGTTTGTAGAAGTGACGCTCACTCAATTCCTGCTTGAAATCACCTTAAGCTCCATCAGTGCAAATTGCTGCTTTCCTTATCTACACTGGGTTGGCAATGATTCTGTTACATCAGAGGCTGGGGTACAACCTAGACAAGACCACAAAAGACAGATTCAGATCTCAGTCAGGAGCCAATCCAGAGATGTTTGATGATGGAAAACAGGTGTAAATGAAAGGAAAAAATCTAGTCAGCAGGACACATATGGAATTGTACTTCTTTTACAATTATCAGAACTTAAATATGATGCAATTTTCCATTTAGACACCAATTTTATACGTACAATCTAAAGGTTGTTTATTGATTTTAAGGAAGTCTTGTAGGGTGACCAGATGTCCCAATTTTATAGGGACAGTCCTGATATTTGGGGCTTTTTCTTATATAGGCGCCTATTACCCCCCACCCTCTGTCCCAGTTTTTCACACTTGCTGTCTGGTCACCCTAAAGTCTTGTACAAAATATACTGTGTAAGAGTCAGAGTATTTTGCATACCTATACTTTAGAAAAAGTCTCATCAATACAGCATAAGGTAACACAGAGGAAGCCACTTTCAATAAGCCTATAGCAAAGTTCCCAATTGTTTCAATGCATTTTAATTCTTCTTGCAGCAAAGCTTGGCTACACTATTGTATGTAGGTTTCACTGTGCTAATCCTCTTAGAATGTAGGATTTATCACCTTCCCCACAGCGTTAAAAGCTGCATTACAAGGTAATAATCACTTCCGCTTCCTCCTCTGCTCAGGATAGAAGAGGAAGGGGGAGCAGTACTAAGGAGAAAGCCCTGATTCCTACTTTTACTCCAGCTGCTCCTAGCAAAAACTGGAGACCAAAGCCTCCAATTGTAGGGGACCTCTCAGGGATGTGAAGAGATGCTTTGTCACCACTTCCAGGATGAAAAGGAGAGACAGAACCTCTTACCAGACACCCCCTCTCCAGTTATAGTGGGACTCTGTACATAGTGCCCATCCTGAAGTTTCTATTTCAAATGAGTTTGACTGAAATAAGGACTTTAGGAGCAGTCTCTGTGAAGACAGGGCTGTTCCCTCAAATTTTTGACAGGCCGTGTGCGCAAAAAATTTCTTCTTTGTAAATTGTTGTGCTTCTGTGCAAATTTTGGTGCATATGGTGTTTCGCCGTGTGCGCAGGGTTCAGGATCAGTGTGCGCGTGCACAGCTTAGAGGGAACAGTAGACAGGGGTCTGTTCATTCATCCATATCAACCAACTGGGTGGGGGTGGGAGGCAGACAAGTAAATACTCCTTTCTGGGAACACCCACACTAATCTGAGAGGAGCCCAGCCTTTTCTATCCCCTGATTAGGGTAATGAATTCCACCTGCTCCAACTGACTTCAGAAGCACAGCTGACTTCCTCATCCCAATCAAGCTAGCACAGGAGGAAAGCAGTTGTGCCTGACTATTGCTGGTGATTTAGGGCTAGATCCACAAAGGATTTAGACACCACTGTGATCCACAAAACCCCTGCCTAAACTCACTGGGTGCCTATATTTCTCTGTAAAATTTCCCTATGCACCCACATTTCTGCTCTGAAGAGCATTGTTGCATCTGAAGAAGTGGGTTTTTTACCCATGAAAGCTTATGTCCAAATAAATCTGTTAGTCTTTAAGGTGCCACTGGATTCCTTGTTATTTCTGCTCTGACACTGTTGCCACCAGGTGCCTATTTCCCACCTAAGCCCCAGTGCAATCCTCAAGCCAGAAAGCGGAAGATAGGCAGAGGAATGCCCATGGGGCCTAATCCTATAGGCATGCTCAGAGCATGCCTGACTAACTCCACATAAAGTTTTGCCCAGGAGTTAGGTTTCTCATCTGGGATATGGGAGATATCAGTTCAGTCAGCCCCTCCCCCCCCAGGAGAAGGTATGTGAACAGGGATTCCCTGCTCCTCAGGTGAGTGCCCTAACTACCAGGCTAGTTTGATGTGGCTTTCTTGAGCTCCTTTGTTAAATCTGTTCCACATTTCATATTAATAGGGATAGAGACAGAGAATTAGTTTAGTGGTTAGGGAGCTCACCTCAGAGCTGGGAGAACCCAGTTCAAATTCCTTCTCATCCAACTTGGTCCTGTAAGATGCTGAACCCCTAGCTCCTAGAAGGGGCTGAGTGTCTTCAGAGCCCAGTGAAGACAGATGCTCAATGCCTCACAGAATAGGGTCCCTTGGTTGGAAACTTCATGTTTTCTTGCAATATTTTAGTACTTCCACTCCTGGCTACAACCAAAAAGTACAGAGGCTCAAATATTGAACTTCTTAAAGACATCAACTAAACTATTTGAAGTCTCAACAGAAAAAAAAATTGTTTGGCTTGTGCTGGGTGAAAACTGGAAGTGTTGGGGGTGGAGAAGAGCTCTGAACTGATTTGCCTAATTACTAGTGCACCCAGCAGGGGCAGAGGGATCAGATACAGAACACCTGGCATTTTAACAACTTGATATAAACACATTCTTCTGGCCTGAGTTTGGTGAAGCCTGAGTTGAAGTACTCATGCTGGCTCTTAGTATTTGGCTTATGTATACAAGAAAAAACTATATTCAAGTAGCAGGGTTAGGTGTAACAGCTGCTGTCTGTTTAGGGAAACTGTTTTAATCTCACTCTGCTAACAACTGTTTTATTTACAGTGACAATACAAAAAAAAAGTGTGAGAGAAACCCACTGGTCCAGACTATTATGCTGTCAGTCACAATTACCAGGTTGGCAATTTATTTCCTGCAAAAGCCTAACTTGTTTTCTGCTTTTCTTTAGTTAACAGAGGGAGGAGTTAGGGCAGTAGCTCACGAAAGCTTATGCTCTAATAAATTTGTTAGTCTCTAAGGTGCCACAAGTACTCCTGTTCTTTTTTTAGAGGGAGGAGTTTGCCACTCTTGGAAATCAGTATTGCAAATAATGCAACCCTGGTGTTAGTGGGTATCTACCATTTGTAATCTCCTCAAATTTCAGAGTATTCTTGGGCCCCCCAGTTCCTCCCCTTACATCTGGACCAACTTTTCCAGTGGCTGCTGTCCTGTTGCTGAGCCACTACAGACCAGCAGTTCTCAAACTGTGCTTTGTGGAAAGCCACAGCCAGGAGCCCCAGCAGGGCTGAAACCCAGAGCCCCATGCCCCGAGAGGGGCTGAAGCATGGAGCCCTGAGCCCTGTGCCCCATGCCCAGTGGGGCTGAAGCTCCCTGCCCTGAGTGGGGTTGAAGCCCTGAGCTCTGAGGCCCTGAAGGTAGGGGGTTGCCATTTTTTTTTTAGTGGGGGGGTCATGATTTTTTTAAGTCTAAATGGGGTCACCAGCACAAAAAGTTTGAGAAACATTGCTAGACTGTACCATGAAGGGCAATTAGATGTTTTTCTCCTTCATAATATTGCCCTGAGACCATAATTAGAACAGAACATCCTTAATGTATCTGCAGTGCTTGCACCAAGGGAATTCTCCGCAGCTGATCCTGGGGCTTTTAGAGCCCCATTACACGGTGCCGGCCCCTTTAGGCAGGGTAAAGGGACCATGGTAGAGGTGAGAATTTTACCCCAGGTGTTCTGAATAAAATGGGTATGTACTTTTTCTCATTAGAAGGCTTTTAAATGGCTCCTTTTAAAAAGTGTTCCCATAACTAACCAACAAAACCTCATTACAGAGCATATTTGAAACTTAGATTTTTATATTTGGTTGTGCAACTTTCACTTTTCAGTCCAGGAATGATAAAATAATATTTAAATTGCCATTATTTGAAAACTATACACTGATCTCCATCCATGAAGTTGACAGAGAAGAGAAAAAAAGCTGACCATGTATTCTGGGAGGTCCCCATCACTGAGAACTATTTTCAGTGACCAAGGCAAAGAATGTTTCTTGCACACAATGCACTCTATCAACAAATGCTTTCCCACATATGTATAAAGAAATGGATGCTGTGATGCTTGTAGGCAGGGCCTTTTGTCTGACAGACTCTTTCACCAACAATTTCAGCCATATAGTGCTAGAGGAATATGATCTGAGTGTCCAGCCATTTTTGGTTTTGGCTGTATGGCATATTCATTTACTTTATTAAGCTGGTGCCTCCATCCTATTTATTGAAACACTGCATTTTCATGTACTTACATGAAAGAAGAAAGATATAAATATTTTTTCAAAAACTAAGAAAAACCCAAATATAAACTCTTCATTTAACCCCCCCCCCTTCCAAAAAAAACCCAAAAAACCACTTATACTGCAATTAAACACCTGTAGCTGGCCTGGGTTGGCTGGCCCAAGTCAGCTGACTCTGCCTTGGGCTGTGGGGCTGAAAAACTGCTGTGTAGACATTCTGGCTTGGGATGGAGCCTGAGCTCTGGGACCCCACAGGGCTGAAGGGTCCAGGAACTTGGGCGCCAATCCAAGCCCAAATGTCTAAACAGCAATTTTTATCCCTACAGCCTGAGCCCAAGTCAGCTGACCCAGGTCAGCCATGACCATGCCATGGGTCTTTTATTCCAACATAGACGTACCCTTAAGCTTGTTAAATAAGTATGTTGTTGTCAACTATACCGTCCTTTACAAAACTCAAGCACTCAAAAGCAAGTAACTGAATAGTTAAGTACATCATAGATCTTATATTGCTCCTATAATATACCAATTATTTTTATCAAGTACAGAGATGCATATTACAGCACAATATAACCTTTACTCTGACCTCAGACACATTTGTTTCAACAGAAATCTCAAACTATGAACATAAAATTAACTCCTTCTGAAGAAGTATAAAAATCATATATACATATTCACAATGACACATACTGACCAGACTCAAATGCAAGTCCATATCCATATATCATTTCACCGTAAATCAACAATGTTACCTGTAAACTACATAAACAACATTTAGTCTTAAGACACATCAATTAAAAGCATTCTATCAAAATTCTAGTGTCAGTTCACAAGTATATGAATTCATTAATACTAACCATTAAAATAAAATATTTAGATTAAGAAACAACCCCCACCCCCACACCCGATAGATTGGCCAGTTAACGTTGTGTTGTGATGAAATATGCATTTATTTGTACTTGGTAAGAACTGTGTGTGTGTTTGTTATGAGGGTAAGAATCATTATATCTTTAACTCCTCATATGCTTGGTTTTAAGTATTGTACAAGAGGAGATAGTTTGTTGTCACTTGGCCACCACATGTGCTTTTTAAAACAAACTTTTTTGGAACATATAGCTATAGGTACTTCCAGCTGATGAAGTTTACAGTCTAGTAAGTCATAAGGGGAAACATATAGATCAGCTTTATGCAATGTAGTTCTTTGCAGCCCATAAAGATCTTGGGGATAATGAGCCTAAATGAAATTGTCCTGGTAGCAGAGCACATCTTTTGGGGCCACTTTTGGGATCAGACATTGCACTGCAAATCTCCAGCCTATATGTAATAATGAATTCAAGAGCTGAGACTGTGTCACTGTGAATTTTGCTGTTCTCAAAGCTTAAGACATGTATGTTGCAATCAGATGATGCTTTTTGCAATTGCGATGTTGTTACTGTCAGAAACAATCTGTTGACTTTGCATATTTCCACATTTTTGCGAGCTGCCTGGATTCTATCTTCTGCAATTGGAATGGAGATTTACTAATTTATTTTATTTTGCAAGATGAAAGGCCTTGCAAAGGGTGTGAAGAGGTCCCACCATTCAGAATCTGGCAAAATTCAGATTTGGGGCATAATCATTTTAATGAGGAGTCAGATTCAGCGGTCCCTCCCTGCCAGCGGTCCCTGTTGGGTCCCATGGGCAAGATAACCCAATATCCTTAGAATTCAGGCTCCATAGGGCACAAGAGCCTCAGAAATAGTTGCATCAGAGCAGAAATGAAACGTGCTTCCTTCACACTAACTACTACAGGCAAATAATCTGCTATAGGCAAATAATGCAGAGCAAGGACTAGTCAGTACATTTGGGATTGAATGGATGAGACATTACTACAAAGTACCCAATATATGAATTCATTAGCAGGGATAACTGATGTAATAAACTGGCATCTGGGGACTTTTGAAGAGCTCTGAGCACAGTCTGAGGCAAGAACTGATACAGGTTAGAGCTTAACCCCTTCACTGCTGACATCTGTGCAGTGGAGATGCATATTTTACATTCATCTTTGTTTGCCAAGGATGAAACCCAGTGCAATGGCTGCATTCTTGCTCAGGGCAGGCAGGAATCATTTGCTTAGAATATAGAAGTCATAGTAGGATCCAGGAAAACCTAGACACAATTGTAAACAGCAACTTAGCCCTGGTCTACACTACGAGTTTAGGTCGAATTTAGCAGAATTAGATCGATTTAACCCTGTATCCATCCACACGACAAAGCCATTTTTGTCAACTTAAAGGGCTCTTAAAATCCATTTCTGTACTCCTCCCCGACGAGGGGATTAGTGCTGAAATCAACATCGCCGGGTCGAATTTGGGGTAGTGCAGACGCAATTCGACGGTATTGGCTGCCGGGAGCTATCCCAGAGTGCTCCATTGTGACTGCTCTGGACAGCACTCTTAACTCAGATGCACTGGACAGGTAGGCAGGAAAAGCCCCACAAAGTTTTGAATTTCATTTCCTGTTTGACCAGCGTGGCGAGCTGATCAGCACAGGTGACCATGCAGAGCTCATCAGCACAGGTGACCACGCAATCCCAGAATCGCAAAAGAGCTCCAGCATGGACCGAACGGGAGGTACTGGATCTGATTTTCTGTTCTATCAGAAATCAAAAGACAAAATGCCAAAATATTTGCCAAAATCTCTAAGGGCATGATGGACAGAGGCTACAACAGGGACGCACAGCAGTGCTGTATGAAAATTAAGGAGCTCAGGCAAGCCTACCAAATTGGCAAACGGCTGCTCTGGGTCAGAGCCCCAGACATGCCACTTCTATGATGAGCTGCATGCAATTCTAGGTGGGCCCCTCCCACTACCCCAACCCTTTCCAGGGACACCTGCAAGGGGGGAGTCTCATGAAACAGGGATGAGGATTTTGGGGACGAGGAAGATGGGGAGGTAGAGGAGGATGAGGATAGCGCACAGCAAGCAAGCAGAGAAACCATACTCCCTGACAGCCAGGAACTGTTTATCACCCTGGAGCCAATACCCTCCCAACCTTCCCAAGGTGGGTTCATGGACCATGAAGCTGGAGAAGGGACCTCTGGTGAGTGTACCATTGTAAATATAATGCATGGTTTAAAAGCAAGTATATTTAATGATTAATTTG